GCCCCCCTCATAGGATCTTCTCCCTCTCTCAAACTCCACCCTTTCCTCACACCCTTTACATTATTACAACTTACAAGAATATAAGTTATAGAAAAATATTATAAAAATAGAAATACAATTTAACTAAAAGTGGCAAGCTAGCGAGCTCCTTTTTTGTCTTTCACTCTTTACATAATTTAAACAGCAAGGTTGTAAAAGAAAAAATAAATAAATGCAACAATTTGTTGACTACTAGCAGTCTAGCAACGAAAGCCGTAGGCTTAGGGTGAACCTAGCAAAGAAACATCATCTGCAACAAGAACAGAAAATGTGCCATCCAAAGTTATAAATTGGTAATTTTTTATTCAATTAAATAGTATCTGCTCAAAATAATGTAAATTTCTTATTTTTTTAATCTTTTACCAATTTATAACTCGGTTGCATCTAACTGTTGTGTGTACGTAAATGTTTTTTTTTTTCATAAAATTTTCGACGAAGAAAAATTTTGAAGAAATATTTTTCCAGCGAAAATTCCGTCGGAAATGCGCCGAAAATAATTTCGTCGTATTATTTTGCACCGGAAGTCCTTTTACGACGCGCGTGAAACTGGCGGACATATTTCCGCCGGAAATCCAAATTTCTGACGGATTTTTGGTCATTTTCCGACGAAAATGGCCGCTGGAAAATGACGTTTTTCCTGTAGTGGCAACTGATGCATAACTTCACCAAGTTCTTCATCATCGCCAATAAACCTTAATAACATGCAACAAAAGATAGAAGTATTGAAAACCTTAAAATCCAACATCTATCAGCAGTTCAGCAGTTATAAGCTAAAGCTCAGAGCCTCATACTCAATACCATATAGCCCTATGCATGGTATGCATGTTAGCAAACAATAGCATGTTAGCAACCTCATTAGTCATTAGTCAATGACTCAATAATCAATACCATATAGCCCATTACACTATTGCAGGGTATGCATCTCAGTTCTTAAAACCCAATAAGAGTAATGAGTATGCATCTCAGATTCTCAGTTCTCAGAGCCCAAACATTCAAGCAATATTAAAAAAATTATCAGCACGACAGCAACAAGTAACAACAAAACAAATTACTATCAGTCATACCATCTGCAACACTATCAGTAGGACAACAACAAATAAAACTTATTAGGAAGACAACAATCAATTGACAACGGTCTAACAGTCCAACACTCCAACTCCAACACCAATGACACCATTATACATTTATACCAACATCAGTTATCTCACAATAACAGTAAATGAGAAAGCCACCAACAGTTATACTGGCAACACCATTATACCAACACCGGCAATAGCATTAAACCAAATTCTTATACCAACATTAGCTATTAGAATATTCATAACAACAACCATTTAAATTAACATAAAATAGACTAACACTAGCAGAGAAGAAGAAATTAATCGAAACAATGAAATATAAAGCCACCATCGATCAGCAACATGCTTAACAAATAACAAGTAATAACATAAAGCAGTGAAGAATAATGTCTCCAAAGTCCATAAAATGTTCAATGAGTAATCTTGATTGTTTCAACATAAATTAGAACACTAGACCAATGTATCAAAAGGCTAAGATGCTAAATTCACTGAGTCGTTCATAACTCTCGTTTGGTTTCTGTCGAAATCTAAACTCATTATGTCATCTGTCATTGCATCAAGCTCTGGATCTTTTGTATCTATTACAAAAGAAGCAATATGAATTTGTTACCTTTTACAGTACTAGTTATACACTAAAATTCAATAAAGTAATATTTGTTACCTTTTTCACTGTACAACCAATCTTTTGTGCATACCAACACTTCCAAAATATCATGTTTCAATAAACTTCGATATTGGTCGAGAACTCGACCACTATTGCTAAAAGAACTTTCGGATGCCACAGTGGAAATTGGTATGCACAAAACATCACCATTTTCTCCCACTCAACATTTGTAGGGCAACACTTGTAGTTGGAGTCACCCAACTCTAAATACATAAAAGCACGTCTGAAGTAAATTGCATTGTCCAACATAATAAAAGTTGAATTCCATCTAGTTGGTACGTCTTGCCTTAAGCCTCTCTTATCTTCAAGAAAACTTTGACTCACACATTCAAGAAACTTTTGTTTTCTTGATTGAGAACCCTTGACATATTTAATGCTCTCACACACCTTCATAACAGATGAATCAATTTCTTTCAAATCTTCCTGCACAATAAGATTTATTATATATGCACAACACTTGATATGGATAAATTGACCATTACACAGAAGACCATTTTTCAAATTCAAATGGTTTCGTAGAAAATAAACGGAAACAGTATTTGCAGAAGCATTGTCTAAAGTGATGTTAAAAAGCTTGCAATCAAATTTTCATTCAACCAAAACTTGTTGAAGTTTATCAAATAATGCTAGTCCATCATGTGGAGGCCGGTGGCATGAAACTGAAATTTATCACTTTTTTCTACAACCTCCAGTTATTATCAATAAAATGTGCAATCAAGCAAAGAAAATCATCTGTGTTGATGACAATCCATAAATTAGAAGTTAAAGAAACTCTACCCTTACAACCAGATAGAAGGGCTTGGATTTGAGCTTTTTTCTTAATAAACATCTTCTTGCAATCATTTCTTGCCATATTTCTAGAAACAAACTACAAATCAAGCAGTAAGTAATGAAGTAATGTTCTAAAACTTGCCCACTCCACATACTAAAATGGTAAATCATGCCTCACTATAAATGCAGTAAATAAGCTACAAAATTCTTCATAATGAAATTTATTTTCAATCATCGAAATAGATGTGCTTGAGTTACTTTGAAGTATAAGTTGAACAATATCATGAGAGTTCTTTTTCTTACAGTTATGCAAGTAACGTCTTAAATTTCCTGTATCATTTTTACTATCACATAAGTATGTTGCACCACATTTCTTACATTTGCAACGATGTTTGCCATCATCTGCAAGTGACAACATTTCAAAATGTCCCCATACCATAGAAGTCAACCTCCTTTTCTTTTTATAAACACTTCCCTCATCTCTTGGAATACAATTGTTCAACTCATCACTATCACATTCCACTTCATTATCAGTAGGAACATGCCCATGCTCATTATGTTCAGAAGGATTACTCGTAATAAATGTATTAGAATCCTACATCTAAACAAAAAAATATAAAATTATACTCATAAAATCAACAATTCAAATAGACATCATCACTATGATACTATCACATAAATATTGCAAAATTTCATTCTATTCTCCATATTCCATAACAACATAACATGATAAGAATATATGCTTACATAACTATCAACAAAGCATCAACTACAATACAACATGCATAAACAACAATACAACATTACAGCAAGCTGCCAACTCCAAGATGCCCAAGCGACCACCACCATCACTACATGTCGTATGCTTACCTCCATTAGACCATCTATCTCTGTTGGAGTGCCGCCTCTCGACCACCACCATCACTACACCACCTGATTACCTCCTTTGGGTTATCTCTACTTTTATCACTTTTTTTGAAGATATTTAGATTCTTGTAGAACAATATTCACCCCTTTTATAGTGAAAGACTGGAGCTTGTGTTAGAGGTTGGGCATTTATCAATGTTGATGGTCTTTAGACTCCTACAAGATAGACTTCGCCTCTTTCAAAAAGGAAGACAAGATCCTTCATCAGAGGACTAGGCCTTTACCACTATTATCAGTCTTTAGACTACTACATGATAATCTTTGCCCCATTTATAGAGGAAGATTGGAGCCTGTGTTAGAGGATTAAGCCTTTATCATTATTAATAGTCTTTAGACTCCTGTAGGATACTCTTGTCCCCATTTAAATAGGAATACTAGAGCATGCATCTGAGGATCGTGCTTTTATTGGCATCAAGGACCTCCAATTTTTGCAAATCAATTATTTCCCAAATTTATGGGAGAAACTTTATTGAGCGACTTAGGAGAACCATGCTTTTCCCTCGCCCCCAAGGGGCATTTATAGGTCTAGAAGAGTATAGTTTCTAAACATTTTTCCTGAATTTTCATAATTTTTACAAATTTTAATAGCAAATAATCCATTTTTTTCCTTTTTACATAAAAGAGGAAAATATTTAATTAAAAATAATAATGATGAATATGTTTTTTTTTAATTAAAAATTTACCAAAAGTTTAAAAAAATTTAAAAAATTTTAAGATACAAAGTTATATTTTTCTTTTTTGAAAAAATGTTAATAAATAAAAAAGTTTAAAAAGATCTATATTTTAATTAGGGAAGTTGAGCATGTGCCCCTTACGTGCGAGTTGCGAGTATGTGCCAGCACTAGCGAGTCAATTTGATCGATCGCCAGGCCTTGTTAGGGCCTAATTTTATGCTCGCACTATTTGATTAAAACTTTTAGTGGTCCTCAGAGATATTTTATGTTGTTTTAAATTCAACTTTGATGCTTTTGGAGCTCAACGGTGTCCTACAACTAGTTTTGAGTTATTTTAAGATTTTCAAAGCAAAATGTTCTAACATTTCTTTCTTTGATTAAATCTCTGACTTCATGGAATGATAAAATTAAGTTTGGGATATATACATATCTATATATTAAAAATTATATTCTTAAATGATAGTTTTCTTGTAATTTATTACTATTATATATATATATATATATATATATATATATTCACAGGATTTCTAAAATGCAATGATTGCTGGATACTTGTCAAAATTCCAAGAGCTGCAGATTTCGTATGGGCATCATTGTCTGTATTCAGCACGCCAAATAATTTTTTACTTTGCTTACATAAATTTTAGCACATCTTTATTCACCAAAAAGTTAGTTTCTTCATTAAAAGTTCGGTGTTTGTTGATGCTTCAGAAAGTTTTTTTTTTTGGGGAAAAAAAAAAAAAAAACTTTTGCTTCAATTTATATCGAATAGTTTTCATCATCATTTAAATCAAACTCAAAAAGATGTTGATTTCATGCATTTTTTATATTATTAATTTACTTATCATCTCAGAACTATTACAAACTATAAGAAACGTACAATAATTATCACAAAGATAAAATGAACATTAGTTTTTGGATAACAATTAAGAAGTGGCCGAGCAAGAAAATCAAATCACTCATGCCACAGCTGAATCTTCCAAAAGACTAACCATGTCCTCTATAGCCTTGTAAGAAGACCCGTCTTTTCCCACAGCCCTCGCCGCCTCTCCCTTCATCTCTTGCATTCTTCGCCGCACAACTTTCCCTTCCTCACCTTCCATCAACTCCTTCACCACCTTCGCCACCTCCTCCCTTCTCACCACCCCATTCACTCCCACCTTGGCCTTCAGTGCCACCTTCACCCCTTCCACAAGCAGAACTGCGTTCATTCTCTGCTCCGCATAAAGCGGCCATGCGATCATCGGCACACCATTCATAAGGCTCTCTAGCGTGGAGTTCCACCCACAGTGTGAGACGAACCCAGCCGTCGCATGATGACTCAGCACCTCTCGTTGCGGGCCCCAAGAGTTCACCATCATCCCCCTTTCTTTTGTCCTCTCCACAAATCCTTCTGGAAGAAACCCAAAACAATCTTCACTGTTCTGCTTTGGATTAAAATAACTACTACTGCTCAGATCCGTGTCATTCGGCACTCGCACTACCCATATGAATCTTTGCCCGCTCATCTCCAGTCCGAGGGCAAGCTCTTGTGTCTGCTCTAATGAAAGAGTACCTCCGCTCCCAAAACAAATGAACACAACGGACTCACTCGGCTGTTGATTCAACCATTCGATGCACTGATGCCATGACTCCTCTGTACCCATATCTGAACCGGACCACGTAAGTGGCCCGATGGGCCAGACATGAGGCTTCCCATCGCCCCTCTGTTGTAGAAAAAAAATTCTTAGCTTGATACATGATAAGTATTTACTTAAAAATCAATGTAAGTCAATTTCACCTTTTTATAAAACTTGGCGGCGTCGGCTTCAATGGCTTCGAAGCTGTTCACTAGAGTTCCATCGAAAAGATCATAGCTCCTTGATATGTGAACCACCCAAGCACAGACCGCACTCTCCCTCTCCTGCATAGGCTCCAAAAAATCCTCGCCTTTTAATGGAACACAACCTGGCAGTCTTAGTGGCTCCGATAGGTCTCGAAACTCGCCGGTGGTGGTCTCTTCGAGTGTAGGGAGGTGGAGCATGAAAGAAAGGAAGAAATAGTTGGAGGTTATAAAAAGATAACTTGGGATGCCGAACTCTTTTACCATGGAAAGGAAGTCGCTTCCGAAGAGGTCGAAGATGACGGCGGCGATGCGGGTGGTTCGCCGGAGAGAGATGAGGATTTCACGGAGGGGAGAGACGGAGTGGGCTATGGTGAGGCATATGCGGGTGACGAAGTGAGTGTTGGATGGAAGGTCTTCGAGGAGAGGGGTAGGGAGTTGAATCGTGGAGATGGAGGAAGGGAGAGAACAGCGGAGGTCGGAGAAAGTGACTAAGGTGGCGGTGAAGTGGTGGCGGAGAACGAGGAGCTTGGCTAACCCGGCGACTGGGGTGACGTGACCCATGCCAGGGCTTGAGACGACGACGACGTGGGGAGATGGGTTGGTATCCGCCATGGCTGGGAGCAAGGTTTGTTCAGTCAAATGGGGTAAAGTTTATGTTGGCCAAAGCAACTTAGGAGTTATGGCTCGGTGGTGCTGATTTGTACTTATTTAGGTTGTTTGTTGGTAGAAAAATATTAGGCGACTTTTCCGTGTGATGTGGAAAGCACGCCATGACGCATTGTTTGATATTTATTTTAAAAATAAATAAATTAGATTATTTAGAATATTTTTTTTTTTCTGAAAATTATTGGAATAATAAAGAAGTTTCTTAAGAAATTTATCATAAAATAACTAAACAATAAAATATTTATTTAAAACTAATAAATAAATAAATGCATAAATAAAAATTCTTACCAAACAAATTATAATTTAATTGATAAAATACAATTTTATAATTTTTTTTAAATATGCTGCCCAAATTTAAAATTAAAATATAAATCTTTCTCAGGAATTTTTTTCTAATTAATAAAAATAATTATTGTAAAATTTATGATAAAATATTATATTACTAAGATATTTAAAAAAAATGTTTATGCATATATTATATAATTTCAAATAATATAAAATTATGTTTTACATCACATGTTCTCTTGACTAGTAATTAATGGCTACATTATTAAATTCAACCCAATGGATGCAGTTTTGCAAGTCACCGAATACTAAAAAACACATTATTATGGCACTAACCATCGGTTGTTGTGATAATTAATATTTTTTATTTAAAATAAATTATAGATTTTTCCTTATGATTAGAAAATTTGACTTAACATTCAAATATAATTCGAATATAGTTCAATCAAAGTTGATTAAAGCATATGCAATAACAAAAACATGTTTTTATCCCACTTTGTGAGGTCGGCAACATAAATCTTTTTTCTCTATTGTGTTCTATATATTAAGAGTCAAATTCTCAGCTAAATCTAGTAAAGAAATGTAATTTCTAATATTTTCTGAACAAGTCTTTTTAGGTCATCATCTACCTTTCTTAACATATGACAAATCTAATACATCCACTTTCCTAATCGGGTCATCAGAAGGCCGTCATTTTATGTGACCAAACCATCTAAGGTGACTACCTCTAACCTTATCTTCCACTGGAGCAACTCCAACCTTTTCACATATATGCTCATTTTGTTTCCTATCTCTAAGAGTAAAGCTACTCAACCCCCTGAGCAAACTCATCTCTGCAACACTTAACTAAATATTATGCTTCTATTTTAATGGTCAACATTCTGCACCATAAAGCATTGCAGGTCTCACTACCATCTTATAAAATTTTTCCTCAAGTTTGAGAGGGACTTTCTATCACACAACTAGTCTGATGCATTCCTTCTCTTCAACCATCCAACTTGAATTCTACTAATAATATCCTCATCAATTTCACTATCATTCTGAACAATAGACCAAATATATCTAAAACATATACTCTTATTAATGACTTGATCATCCAAAGTCAAAATCTCATAATTAGATCTATTATTACTAAATTACACTTTATACATTCAATTTTAAATATACTCAAACGAAAGCCTTTGGATTCTAAGGTTGACCTCCATAATTAAAGTTTACCTTAAATGCTCTCTTTATTCTTATCAATAAGAAGAATATCATCATCAAAAAGCATTCATAAGAGTATAACCTTTTTGAAATGTCTAGTGAGAACATCCATGGCTAAAGCAAAAAGATGTGGGTTTAAGGCTGATCCTTGTGTAATCTAACTAAAATATAAAAATACTTGGTCAAACTATGCTACAAATCAGGACTCAAGTACTGTGATTTTAGTGATAACAAACATTATTGTTTCCTTATTGCAATCTCTTATCAATTGGTTTATTGCATATCTATTTTTCCCTACTCAGTAACATTTTAGGTCCACCGTTTACCTGCAACTTCAATCACCTTAAGATTGGGTAGACTAGGGTTGTGTCTATTTCTAATTTCAACTTCAATATACTTTTAACTTTTTTGAGTCAAGTCAAGTATATAGTATATTTTAAGCTAAGTAACCTTGCACACACAGTCTCAAGGGAGTGAGTTGATGAGTTAATTAAATTTATAATTTTTGAACTAATCATACAATACAATTTATATCGTACTGGACGATCAGTTAACAAAAAAACTCCAATTAGGGTGCCCTTTATTAACTGACATAGATTAAACTAATCAAACTAAATGATCCTAATCATACAAAACGATATTGTATAATCACATTATTCACTCGCAAATCAATAATTAGGCAATATTTTAATATTCAAATATTTCTCTAATCGTATAGTATAATATACATCATACATGATAATTTGTAAAAATAATGCCTAAATTGATAATGTAATTAGAAGACTAATTAGTGTTTAATTGCTCAATCATATCATACAGGATGATCATACTATATGACCCAAGAGATGCATGGGACGATATTTAATCATCGTGCATCATCGCTTATCGTACTAGAAGCTAATATAGTCTCTTGAAATAATTATACAGGATGATTGCAGGATCATACGAGTTGATTAATAAGATCTCTTGAACTAATCGTATATATTAATGAAGTTAGCACTATTTGACAATGCTGTTTTATACAAATCGTACAAGATGCTCTAACGATTATATAAGATGATCCTTGAAGGAAAATTAAAATTTAAGGCTTCTTTAGAGGCTTTCTATTTAAACTCCTACATTATCTTATAAGACATCTTTTTACTGTTGAGTTTGCTTGAGATGGAGCTTTGAGAGAGAGTTGAGGATAACTTTGGGAGAGAAGTGAGAGAGTTCTTGTGAAGGGGAGTTATGAGAGCTTCACAAGGTTTCTCTTAGCAAAGTTCCTTCCAATCTTATTCAAGTCTATGCTTTGATTCTTGGGTGGCTCCGGGGAGGCATTCTTCATTAATAAATCTTTATTTTATCCAACTCTAGGAGGGAGTGAACAGATTCTTGGTTCTCTATCATCTCCAGGAGGGAGATTAAGGATTTCAAGTTTTCTACCTTCAATAAGAGTGTGAAAAAGATTTAAGTTACTCTATTGCATCGAGTTGGTGGAAGTGATTTTATAAAGGCTTCTTCACTTAACTATGGGGCTAAAGGAGAAACACTAAAAGGTTTAGTGAAATACCTATAGTAGAGGCCTCCGGTGAGTGAATGTTGGTCAAGATCCTAGAATTATTGAGGAAGCTAATGAAGCAACTTATAGTCATTATAAAGTTCTTGGAATTACCTTATCCAAAATCGTCAATCAAGAGGCTTTGAACTTTTCAGGTATTCAATGTTTTTTACTGCATAACTCTTGGTTTCATCCTCACCCTTCCCTTTCGTTCAATTTTAAACCTCTATTTGAATTTTTTTGAAGCATTTGAATTAACACTAAGGTTAATGCCCTACAATCTTATGTTAATAAAAGACTTGTAGAAATCACTTATGAAGACTTACATGAATTTCTTTACCTTTCAACTGCTGGATACAAAATTTATATTTTAGGCTCATATCCTGACTATAATTAGACCCGTACAAACAACATGTTTAGGGAAACCAATGTTAACTATCATATAGCCCAAGTTAATACATTAGTCTAGGATGCTCGAATCATTCATCATATCCTTCATAACTCAATCATTCATAAAGTTGGGGATCGGATTAACATTACCCATGTTTTCTCACTAGCCACATACTACATCATGGCTAACATTGACTTTAATTTTGGCTGATCTTATCATTCTCTATCTTGACAACCTAACCTGTATTCGAGTTCCTTGCCACAACATAATGCCTTACCTTGCCTTATGACATCTAATAGCCTTTGTCCCATAGTCCAAATATAATCTTAAATTTCTCACTCCACATGATCACCTCCCTATATTCTATTCTAATAGCTCCTTCCATGTCCTTCACAATACTCTTCATCACACTATGCATGAAGAGCATGTGAAAGAGGAAGGAGGATATATTCTTGCACATGTCCTTATGCGATAGTAGTCTTAGATTGATCAGCTAGTTCAGAGGTTTGATCAGTGAGAGATCAATACTCTTATGTAATAGAGCAATAACGGCAACAAGAACATGACCTAGCTTTCTTTGACTCCTACGAAGCCTAGTAGCAGCAACAACATGATAAGGATATGGCCTAGTTTGGAGAACAATTTGCCTCCCTTCACTGATTCTTTCTGCCACCACCACCACCACGTCCACTTGATCATAATTCTTCCTTTTTCTAGTTTACTATGTATTTTTTCAAGTTATTATACTGTTATATAATTATGTACTTAATGATGTATGTATGTTTTTATTCTCATTTATGTCTTTTTCTTTTTAGTTGTTTCCTTTTTTTTGTGGTGTCAAAAGATGGAGTAGCAGTTTGTTGTTTAATTATTTACATCCTTATTTAAATGAAGCCAGTTTAGTACTTTGCTTATGTTTATTTTTGCTAATTATTTATTGTATTTATTTCATATTAAAAATTAAAATAAAAAAAATTTACTTTCCTTACTTTAAAAAATTCACCTTCTATGGGGGAGATTAAAGAATAGTAAAGAATTTGAATATCTTTAAACAACAGTGTTTGCTATCATAAAAAGGGAGAGATTGTTATAAATCTAGACTCAAGTACTGTGATTTTGGTGATAACAAACATTATTATTTTCTTACTACTATCTCCTATTAATTGGATTATTACATATCTATTTTGCCCTGATCACTATTATTTTAGGTCCATCGTTCACTTATAACTTCAATTAGCTCAAGATTGGGTAGACTAGGGTTAAGTCTATTTATAATTTTAACTTTAATGTACTTTTACCTTTCTTGAGTCAAGTCAAATTAATGGTGGATACTAAGATGAGTAACCTTACAAACACACACAAGGGAGTGAATTGGTGATTTAAAAAATTTCTATTCTAAGAACTAATTATACAGTATAATTTATACCATATTATATGGCCCGTTAATAAAAAAACCCTAATTAGGACACCCTTTATTAATTGAGATTGATAAACTAATCATACTTAATGATCCTAATCATTCATGAAAATCAGGTATAATAATAATATTTAATCGCTTATTAGAAA